ACCATAGGGTGAGTGCACATCCATAGGGCGAGGGGATAGGCTAAGGGCTCGGCGAGGTTATACCAACTCCAGCTTGGTCAGAATCGTGGTCAACAGCTCCTGGTCAAGGCCCTGGTCAACGCTTGGTCAACACGGTCAAACCCCGGTCAACGCTCAGGTCAACCCCCGGTCAACCTCCAAATCGGCTATGGCTGCCGGCAACTTCTTCCTCGCCTCCCTTCACTTCTCTTTCCCCCTCCACCTTCTTTTTTCATCAACCCCGTGTCCGAGCTCTGCGGCTATGGCCGCCACTTCCTTCCCTGTCGAACTGCACAACCAATCTTGTATCACTCAATTCTCTCCCTCTCTCTCCGTGGTGATATCTTCAACGCAGGTGCGTACCAAACCAATCTTGTATCGCTCAACTCTCTCTCTCTCTCGTTGTTGTCTTCTGTGTGCAGGTACACGACACTTCTCTGCAGCGCAGCTATGGCGGACCTCCTTCTTGGCGGCGCTCCTCCGTTATGGCGCCCTATGGCGCGTGGGATAGCGGGTACCAGCTCTGATACCAGTGCAATCAGACTCGTTTCCATTCACACTCCACATGCATGCAAACAGGTTGCGCAGCAACTGGCGTCAAGCGCCCACTCAGAACTCAGAGATATAGTACCAAGAACGCATCTCAGATACAAGTTCACTTCAACTGGCTATGGCGGCACATCGCCTGTACAACTCTCTGTTCGTCACTTACTCGACACTGCTGTTCGCACACAGGATCACCCTCAATACCCCACATGCATCACTCTGCACACTCGCACACACCCACACACACCTACAGCCATGGCGGCTGTGGCCGCTACTACTCTACCGCTATGGCTAACTTCCTTCTCGCCCACTTCGTCCTCGGGCTCACTGCAGACCACCTCGCACAAGTCGCTATGGCAGCGCTTCCGCATGGCTCACGCAGGAATCAATGAATGCTGGGCGCTGCCTCTTGATTTATACTTCTGTAACTCGCTGGTCTGCCCTTTTNGGCTGCTGCCCATGTTAAAATACAAGTACATAGCAGGGTTGGCGCAGTGTTGGAAGTAGCCTCACCCGCTACTCTTCACATGCACAAAAGACAAAGAACAGTTTGGCGATGTATCTTTCCATGTTCTAGAGGAGGATTCATTTCTTTCAGAAGTCCCAATCGTTTCTCATCATTCTTTTTCTTTTCTTGTTTTCTTGGCAAGTAGTAGGGCCAGGGCCTAATCGTTTCACGTCGTTTCTTTTTTTTTTGTCGTTAGTGGCAGGGCCAGGGCCTTTCCTCCACAACCCTCCACATGCACAAAAGACAAAAGAAAAGTCTGACGATGCATCTTTCCAGAGAAGGATTTGTTAGCGGGGCCAGGGCCTTTGCTGCAAGACTCTCCACGTGCACAAAAGACAAAAAAGAAGGAGTATCTTTCCATATTCTCCATGTTTCACATAAGAATGAATCCTCCTCTAGAACATGGAAAGATACACCGCCCATTTCTTTTTTCTCTTTTGTGCATGTAGAGAGTCGTGCAGCAAAGGCCCTGGCCCCGCTACTCGCCAGACGTCCACGAAAGAACGAATCCTCTTTTTTTTGTGGGAGGGGAGGAACCCGTCCTCCTGTGGAGCATGGAAAGATGCACCATTTTATTTTTATTTTTTTTCTATCTAACGGCCTGGAGATGCGATCATCAGGGCAACGGCCTCTAGATACCATCATTGAACCGACCAACCCCAGGAAATTCAGAATGATCATCGGGGTTTGAACTTGAGACTGTATTTCAACAATTCAGGGGTGTACAGACTGCACTAGGCCAGGTGGTGATTTGTGGTATTTTGCTCATCTGCTTCCAGAGGAGTTTGCACAGTTCAGGGGTGTACCAACTGAGGGCGTACTTACACTACCCGACTGCATTTACGCCCGGAATTATATGCATCTGGCCACAGTTGCATCCATAATAAGTAAAAAAAGTGGACCATTTCTCAATTTATGTCTCTCATCCTTTCCCAAGGGCAATGCTAATCTTCACTGTGTGGACTGGCTGGTGCGTTCCGGTTTGGCTTAGCGTTTTTTTTTTTTTTTTGGTTCGACTCTCTGGGTTCATTATACCACCGGCCCAGTGACATGGCCCTCTTTGCATTTCATTTCATCTCCACCTCAGGCCCGCGGGTCCGATTTGTTCTGTTAATGTCAATGGATTTACCGACTTGCAATCAGACTCGTTTCCATTCACACTCCACATGCATGCAAACAGGTTGCGCAGCAACTGGCGTCAAGCGCCCACTCAGAACTCAGAGATATAGTACCAAGAACGCATCTCAGATACAAGTTCACTTCAACTGGCTATGGCGGTACATCGCCTGTACAACTCTCTGTTCGTCACTTACTCGACACTGCTGTCCGCACACAGGATCACCCTGGATACCCCACACGCATCACTCTGCACACTCGCACACACCCACACACACCTACAGCTATGGCGGCTGTGGCCACTACTATTCTACCGCTATGGCTAACTTCCTTCTCGCCGACTTCGTCCTCGGGCTCACTGCAGACCACCTCGCACAAGTCGCTATGGCAGCGCTTCCGCATGGCTCACGCAGGAATCAATGAATGCTGGGCGCTGCCTCTTGATTTATACTTCTGTAACTCGCTGGTCTGCCCTTTTCCATCGGCCCATGGTGCACACAGTCCCTCATGGTACTTGCTGGACTGGACTGGGACTGACTGGACCGGTACCGCTGACTGC